GTTTTACCCCATCTCAATTGCGGTCCCCTTTACCAACTCTCTAGACAGACCTTTTGTAAAAAAGTCAGCCAAGTTCTTACTTGACTTTACATATTAAATTGTGATGACTCTATCATGTATCAATTGGCTGACAAAGTTATGTCTTAGACTTATGTGTCTAGACTTACCATTGTAAGTGCTATTATAAACTTATGACAAGGTAGCTTCACTATCGCAATGAATAGAGATTGGAGGCATTGGATTAGGCCATAACATAACTTAATATCCAAAAGCAAGTTTTTAATCCAATCAATGTCTTTTCATGTTGTTGCTAATGGTATGAATTTAGATTCCATAGTCGAATGGGATATACAAGTTTGTTTTTTAGATGCCCATGAAACTACACCCCCACCAAGGAGAAATACCCATCCAAAAGTGCACTTATTATCTCCTTGACTAGTAATTCAACTAGCATTAGTATATCCCTCTAATACAGCCAAAAATTTATAAAATAGCCCAAATCCCATGGTCTTTATGAGATAACCAAAGAATCGACCGACTGCTTTCCAATGTTCACTACTTGGATTACTTGTAAAGCGACTCATTTTGCACACAGCAATAGCTATATCTAGTCTGGTACAATGCATGAGATACATCAAGCTTCCAGTAGCACTAGCCTACTCAAGCTGTGCAATTGCTTTACCAGAATTCTCAGTTAACTTAGCACTTGAGTCAAACAACGTACTAAATTCTTTAAAACCAAGATGCTTAAATTTTGAGAGCATTTTGTTAATGTAATGCTTTTGACATAAGGCATAACCCACACTATGCCTTTTTTGCTTTAAATCCAAGAACAGTATTAATTTCTCCTAGGTCTTTCATTTTGAAAATAGAAGACAGATACTTCTTGGTTTCAAGTATCCCTAACATGTTTGTCCCTATGATGAGCATATCATCAACATACAACACATACAATCACACCGTAATCTTTGGTAAATTTAGAGTATATGCATATATCAGCATTATTGTGGGTAAAGCCATTAGACAAAATACATGAATCAAATTTCTGATGCCATTGTTTGGGTGCTTGTTTTAAACCATACAAAGATTTATTCAATTTACATACTTTCCTTTCATTTCTAGGTAGAACAAATCCTTTTGATTAATCCATATACACCTCTTCATTTAGATCACCATTTAAAAATACAATTTTGGCATCCATTTGATGGAAGTAATTATGGCAATAGGCACATATGTATCAAAATAGTCTATACCTTCCTTTTGTCTAAAACCTTTGGCTACAGTCTTGCATTGAAAATATGTATTGAATTATCAATGTTGTACTTTCTTCTAAAAACCCATTTGTAGCTAATAGATTTAGAATCCAAAGGTAAATCAACCAATGCCCAAGTCCCTTTTGACATAAGTGAATCCATTTCATAATTGATGGCTTCCTTCTAGAATGTCGAATCTCTAGAACTAATGACTTTTTTAAAAGTTTTAGGATCATCCTCATTGTTTAATGCCATAGGCATTAATCTTGTCAAATTTTCTCTATCTCCTTCTACTAGAAAAATAATAAATTATGATGAGATAAAATCAGGGTCTAGACCTTTTTCCTTTCTTGGTCTCTGACTTCTTCTAGGTTCTTCACTAAGAACTATATGTCTTTTGACATTATTCTGTGGCTCTAATTTTGGAGAAGAATTAGGTTCAAAATTCTGTAGTTCTAACTCCTAAGAAGAGTTTTCAGTCCTTACATTTTTTAAATCTGTGTGGAATTTATTTTCAAAAAATTCTACATCCCAAGATTCTACAATTGTATTAGACTGGAGATCAAGAAGTTTGTAGGCCGTACTATGTTCGGATGAATTCCGTCTAGGTTCTTCTATCAAGTTTTTTTCTTAACCTGTTCAGTTTCTACTAAATTTGTTCGCCATACCTTTTATAAAATTTGATTATGTACAACTTTTATTCTTTGAGTTCTGATCAATTTAAATTATTTAAGTATGAAACAGTGTGTTTTTTTTATACTTCTTCAGTAATTCACTTATGATTAAATTATACTAACTTTATTTTTTTTACAGAATAGTGGGTCTTACTAATTTTTATTTTTATTTTTTTATGCAAGGCTAACCTATCATATTTTTATGTTTATTTTATACTCAATTTATATTTAGTTGTATACGAGTAAGAAACTAAATGCCATTATATCTCGAGAAACTACTCCTTCGTCTCGGTGCGGGTGGAACTACTTGTCTTGTCCTGTAATAAGAATTAAATATACTTTTGTTTGTGTCTGGTAGATACGAGGGTGCCAAATATTTGTACTCATGCCAGTATACTTGTATACTAACCCGTTTTGTCTCTTGGCATCTCAAATGCGTTCTATTTGAGCGCAGTCAAGTTTCCTTTGCAAGATTAGTTGGAGCTACAGTGGTGACAAGAAATAACTATAGTTATTGGACTTATCTCTTGGACTTTTTTTTTGTTTTATTGAGCTTAGGGTTGATATTAGTTTATTGTATTTATTATTTTCTTTTTATGACCTTAGTATTTTGACAATTTAACATTATGGGTTCTTTTTCAACTTTACATTATTTAAGTTGTTTTGACTAGTTGTTGCTACTTTAATGTTGGAAGTATTGGATAGTCATGGATTTATGATAGATGGTTTGGTTGGCGTTTATTAATTTTTTTTATCCCTTGTATTTTTTTTGAGTATTAAAATTTACTTAAACCTCATGGAGACGAGAACGTTTAGATTTTGTTTCACCCCTAGGATTTAGATGATGGAATATTGATTGGGGTTTAGTCCTAATTTAATATTTAATTGTCCAAATTTTGGAACGTGATAGTTTGGTACACGTAACACATCAACACCAAATATACATAGTAGTGTCACTTGTGTGTGGTCTCTTGATTGTTTGTTGGGATTGCCAGAACGGTGGTGTAAACATATGTATATGATTATTTTCTCAACTGATATTGTGTGTATTAATACACTCCATATATGTATAATATAAATATTCACATTTGTAGTGAACCACAATAAACATAGAACAGAATGTAAACATTCACATTCATTAGAATGGGTTGTAACGTAAGCTGTCAACATTCACACCAATATCAACATAAGAGAACAGATGTGGATGTTCACACTCTATACTGTTTGACACACACAACACATCAACACCAAATATATCATCAAAAAACATAAGTGTATGCAAAATAAATCATTGATTTATATATATGTTGCCCGTGTTTTCAACAAGAAGTTGTCAAAGTTCCACAATAAAATAAATAAATAAAAACAAAAACTAGTTTATGGTGGATATCCCCCAACCATATAATTAAATGAATTGGAAACATGTTTCATTTTTTTACAAGGTTATCGTGGACTATTTTGTCTTTGTCATTCAGAAAAAAATTGATTAATGATGAACATATATAGTTCAAATCCGTCAGCCAGACACAATTTTGGCTCTATCAAATTATGGTAGATATGCTATCTCATAATGTAACAAACAACCAGTACACAATCAATCCTGTAAGGTAGATGATGTGGTTAATAACTTAACCATAATTTGTATTATGTTTGTGGTAACGTGAAGATGCTATTATGAAGTGACTTACAAGTTTGGAACTTGTTGGAGATAGTTGTTGACCGAGATGATAAACTTTGTACGATTGTAAACTGCCAACTTACCCCCAAGCTGGGATAATAAGCCAAGTTATGTTATGACCGATTTGACATTGGTTTTCTGCCACAGTGGAAACAAACAGTTGGTTATTTATGCAATTATTAATGCATACATTTACAAACACAAGCGAGTACACATGTAATTTGTTGTTGATGTGAAAAGTCACATCATTTGATAACAAACACTTGTGAAAAATGTGATTAATGTGAAATTTCACATATGTTACATAACAAATAATTATATGAACATATTTAATGTAGACTTTCACATTATGATATAACAAATACTTACAATAATGTGTGATTTGGAAAGGTGTGGGTCTTGAAGCCTAGGTCTCGGCTGCAATGAGTTATAATGCCTCCACTACATTATCTACACACATGGACAATATATCAACTAATTATTTCATTATTTTATAGAAAAAAAACAAAAAATAAGAGGTTCACATCATTTGAATACCATCAAAACAACAACAACAACAACAACAATCACAGAAAGAGGACAACAATCCACTACAAAAAAATTGCTTTTTTGCGACGGCAAAATGCCGTCGCAAATACCCAAAACGCCGTCTTAAAAGGTTTTTTGCGACGGCAACTGGCTTTTAGCGACAGCAAGTGGGGGGTTGCAAAAGAGTTTTAGTGACGGTATAACGCTGTTGCCTTTTTTTTGCGACGGCAAAAATGCTTTTTTGCGACGGAAAAATACTGTCGGCATTAATGCGTGAAAATCTGAGATTTTTTGAGACGACACTATATTGTTGTCGCTAAAAGGGTTATTTGCGACGGCAAAAATACCATTGCTAAAGGGTTATTTGAGACAGCACCTGATGCCGTCGCAAAAGTATTATTGGCGACGGCAACTAATACCGTCGCTAAAGGTCTTCCATTTCAACCAATTCCACCATCTTTTGCGACAGCATTACTGCCGTCGCAAAAAAACCTGATTCTATTTTTCTTTTTGAGACGGTGTGTGTGGTGCCGTCTCAAAAAAAAAAAAAAAACTGTAATAAAATTATTAAAAATATGTAAATGACCTGTATTAAATGAAAAATAACTATAAAAAAAATCCGATAATTACATAATAATATTAAAAGTCCAGTATATAAATAAAAATTCATCCATAATTAAAATATTCTTCCATTCATAACAACACATCAGCAAAATTATCCCACTACATAATGTTGCATAATACATACATAATGTTGTTTACAAATCTAAATAACGTAAATCAAAAACAAAAGTTTTCGTCATGATTCTTCCGTGGGTTACAAAAACAAAAGTTAGTCATAATCTTCACACTCCTGCATTCCACAAGAAGCAATATTGTAGTGATGTCCATCCCACCATCCCTGGTCCACCTGCAAGAGCCTTAGAAACATTAATAGAACAATATTGCAGCCATCAGTAAAATTAGGAAGGTAGGACATTTGAATTACCAAAGCCTCTCAAATCTAGTAGTAATAGCCACCTCCATATGGGTGATCATTCCCATAAAAAGATGAATATGAGTCTTCACCATACTGTAACATGACAGAAGGTAGAATATCAAAAGTATGGTAAAGTGTAAGACGTGAACCAATAAACATAAAGTAAGCTATGAGTGCTCACATTAGAGCCATAATAATCGTGTGAGTAGAGACTGCTGCCAGCTCCAAAAGAATCTAAAACAAAAAGAGACATAAGCATGAGCAATCTGATAAAAAACAATCCATACAAACAAGCAGGGAAAAAGGAACATTGGGCACAAAATCCATACCTTGATAGCGATGTGCGTGAGCTGCTGGATCAGAATAATCTAATCGAGGTCTAAGTCTGCTAGGATCCATGTAATCAGGATCATGGTCCTTAATGCCAAAAAAAAAAAACACTTAAACAAGTTACATTATGTGCGACACTGACAGAAATCTCAAAACAATAATACTTCAACAAAAAAAGAAATTTAAATGAAGTCTAGCTTACTGTCATGAAAAATGGTCCTTTTCTCCCATGTGAACTGTCGTCATAAAAGTAGTGGTCATCAAAAGTGCCTTCCAACAAATGGCCCGTTAAATCATTCTTCGGGGGAAAATGGTTGCCTCTTGACTGGGATATGCCTCCCACGGCCACTATCAATTGCTTCATGCCTGATCCTATCAAGGTTAGGTCTTGCTGGAACAGCATTTCCACCAGATGCATCATGAGAACTGCCAAACAAATCTCTCCTTCCATCTGCTTATATAAGGTTACATACAAGGGCTTGATAAGTGAATGCATTCAGGTTATAAAGATTAGCAGTAACCATTACAAAAATGTTGAGGACATGGATGATCAATTTTGGTCCAACATTTCAGGTATGTGAGTTAAAAATTACCACTTTTGATGGTAAGAACATATGAAAATTGTTTTGATAGAAGATTCTGTAATCATGTGAACTTAAGCACAATGAAGTTGGCCTAAATTTATAACGTTTCTGCCAAGTAGGAACTATGAAACCCAGTCCTTGAGATCATATATTTTCTGTTTATTCCTTCTTTTTTATTCATTTTTTTCGTGCTGCGGAGGATGGGTGGATTTAAACTAGAATGAAAAAGTAGAGCTTATACAAGTGGAATCATCAAATAAGGAACAAAGTTCCAATCTATGTCACACCTCTCCTCCAATCACGTCTTGAAAGTGTCAAAATTTTAGAAATTTAAAAGGATAGGAAGAAAGAAAATCAGAAGGGAAAAAGCTAACACATGGAATGCTTTGGGCTTTTATGGTTATTTTTTTATTTTTATTTTTTTTAAGACAAAGAAAAGAAGACAAAAGGGAAAGAAAATAATAGAGAATGGTCTTGCATATGGGGGCTGAAAGGATTCTGCAATGTAAAATTACTTCTTGGTTTATTCTTTATGATAGAGGCACACACACACACACACACACATATATAAACACATATACACAAAACACTGGTTCTGAAAACAACATAACTCACTCTGTTAATACCACACTAAACACTGGTTTTGAAACATATGGCCAAGATTACTTGCATGCATCTATACATAGTGGCAAAAGTTGTGCATTTCAAAACGATTAAGATATACAAGTCATAAAGAGTAAATTGGCATCATGAATAGCTACAAATTAGGAGAAAAGAAATTTAATCAAATTTTTTACTTTTCAGAGGTTCCAGTTGTACATGATAAAAAGTGCAAAAAATCTTCAATACTTGAGATGTCCACTACACCTAATCTACCCATAATACCACAAAATTTCAATAACTTACCTACCTAGAGTTCTACAATCTAGTAAAATAATGTCTAAAGTGCAACCTTCCTGTACCAACTTTGAGGTTGTTGAGAAATAAGATTGTTCTTTCAAAAAGTAAAAAGTCATGCAGACAATTCTATGCGAGGCAAAACATATTTCAACAGGGGAGTCATGCTTAGGCCTTCTAGAAATCTCTATAAATGGTTTGGATGGCTTATGTATAAAGAGTATGCTCTAAATAAAGCCATGACTATAGCTGAAGCAAGAGAGGTTATTACAACTAGTGCTTCAATCAGTTGTGCTGCACAACTGGTCAAAGCACTTGTTTTGGACCTCCCATGCTTTGGCAATAGCTGCAGCCTCTAACTAGTACTAAAAATATTCTGTTCCATTCTAGGAAGTCATGGATGTTAGGGTTACAGTGGAAGTGGTTTAAATACAGAAGAAACATCCCAATTCATAGAGTCCAAAATCTTAAACAATACGGTCACGGTATTTCATAGAAACATACATTAAAATAGAGCATCAACCCAAATTCAGGTTTTGAAGTGAGAAATACACACAAAAGAGCATTGCAATAACTGTTTCTAAACACCAAAAAATCATGCATAGGAACAGAAAAGTTCATGGAGTTTCATAATACACCAACCATGACATGCAAAAATGATACACAGCCTTGACCCAACTGTCCTCTTTCAATAGATAAGAGGGGTTGAGGAGATTCCGCTTCAGACTTCAGTTGGAGGTTTCAACCGTACGAGCCTTTTGATTCTATCCTTGTCCATGTTCTCTAGTAACCCCTTTTCAGCACAAAGAGGAAAAACTATCACAAACATGAACACTTGACAGTAAAATGTGAAACAAAAGGTAAAAGAAAATCAGATTAGATAGCTATCTGAGAATTCTTGCTCTCTAATGGTGATTGAAGTAATATTCTTTCCATCTTTTAGCTATAAGAACTCAACTTCTAGATTTTAGCTATTTTCGTGGATCTATCTAAGAATTCAACTTCTATATATAAACACAAGCATAACCGGAATAAGGCTCAGAAAATGGACCAAAATATATACTAGATTTTAGGAAATACACACACACACACACACATACATACACACACACACAGAGCTGTGACCTAGGGCTTCGACAGGCAAAGTCCAAGGGATTCTGCGCCAAGAACGAATGCAGCAAAATCCACCCGCCACAGATGTAATCACCTTCGCATTCCATCGTGGATTCAACAAAACAATTGCAAAATATAAGAATGTCCTGTTTATTTAAATGAAATGAAATCAAATGAAATCATCAAAATATATTTAGATAGACAGAAAGATATAAGAAATTAGACCGCACCAGGAACACCGGCGAATCGAAGAGTCTCTTCAATCATGCGAATCTGAGCGGACCGATGTTCTTGAAGCTGAAAGCTTCGAGCCTGCTATTAATGGCTGCGGTGGTCCCTGAGCAGCTCCTTCGCCACTGGAATGAGAGCAGCAGAGGGAAAGCCAACGGAGTGAGAAACAAAAGAGTGAGGCTCCTTAACCCCGTCGCTCGACGCCATCGTCTACCGTGCTCACAGTCGCGCGAGAGAGAGAAAGGGATTTTTGGTTAAAAAATTAGGGATTTGAGATTTCGGGATTTTTAGTTGAGGGTGGGAACGAGCGGGAATCAGATTTTCTGCTTTTTTTTTTTTTGTGGCCACATCAAGCATAACTGGCTCAGATGAAAATTTAAGGTAGGTTTGATAACATTTATATTTTTAATTTATATTTACAAAAAATTTATAAATTGATTTTTGTTTATTTTTAAAAAAATATAAATTACAAATGCGTTTGAACAAAATATTTAAAAAAAATTAAAAACATAAACTAAAAAACATGTTTATCCAGGCCTAAAATATTTATATTTATTTTTTTATTATTTATGACAATGAGATCATACACATTTTAATTGAAAAAAAAATTAATTGAAAAAATTTTATTTGAAAAAAAATATTTTAAAAAATAATTAAAAAAAATATTTGAAAAAATAATTAATTAAAAAAATATTGTTAGTCAAATTTTTAGATTTTTGTTTAAAAACCAACGTAAACTCATTTTTTGAGAGAGATGAGTGAAAGAGAGAGAAAAGAGAGATGAGAGAGAGACATAGAGAGAAAGAGAGAGAGAGAGAGAGAGAGAGAGAGAAACAGAGACCCATTTCATTTTTTGACTTTTTTCTTTTTCAATAACAATGGGCTTAGAGAAAAAGATGAGTGTGAATGAGAGAAATAAACGATTGAGAGAGAAGAGAGATGAGGGAGGGAGAGAGAGAGAAATAAAAATAAAAAGAGAAACAAAATGAACGAGAGAGAGAAAAAGACAGCAAAAGAGTTGAACAAGAGATATAGAGAGGGAATGAGAGATAAGAAAGATGAGCAAGAGAGATGAGAGAGCCAGAGAGAATAGTGATGAATGAGAGAGAGAGAGAGAGAGAGACACACACATACACACACACACAGAAGAAAAAAAAAAGAGAAACAAGATGAGCGAGAGATAGACAAAGAGAGAGAAAGAGAGAGAGAGAGAAACAGCAAAAAGAGATGAATAAGAGATATAGAGAGAGACCTAGAAAGAGAGAGAGAGAGAGAGAGAGAGAGAGAAAAGATGAGCAAGAGAAATAGAGAGCAGAGAGAGATGAGAGAGCCAGGGAGAAGAGTGATGAGTGAGAGTGAGAGAGAGAGAGAGAGAGAGAGAGAGAGAAAGAGATCAATAATCGAGAGGGAGATAGGTAAATCAATAAGAGGGGATGGAGAGAGTGAGCAATGCGAGCACAGTGTGAGACAGAGAGAGAGAGAGCGAGAGAATTACACAGATAGAAAGACAAAGAGTGATGAGTAGGGGTAATGAAAAAAAAAATTATTTTTTATTTTTTTTAGTTACTAAGGTTGAAAATTTATTTGTTTTATTTTTATTTTAATGATTTTTTTTTGGGTAGAAATAAGGGTAATATTTTAATGAAAAATATTTTCTGTTAAAATAAAGTTAATTTTTTTTGGTCAATGAAAAATATTTTTCTACGGCCCATTTTTTTTTTTTTGTTACTAAAATGGGAGTGGCAGAGGAGAGGGAGTGGCAGTAGTGGTGAATGTGGTGGACAAGAGATGGTGGTGGTAGTGGTGGTGATGGCGAATGAGATTAGTGGTGAAGTTGTAGTAGTGGTAGAGGAGATGGAGTGGCGGTGCTGGAGGAGAGGTAATGGTAGTAGTAGTGGCAGTAGTGGTGGTAGTCATAGTTCCACCCATTGATTTAAGTATTGTAACGCCCCCAAAATAAACCCATAATATACATAACATTGACATGCATTAATAAAAAAAAACCAACCGTTATTCTATTCATCAGAGTATTCTTATTGAAAAACATTACATGTAACATCAAATTAAATGCCTTACGGGCTAACATCTTTCCAAGCCAACACTTGGACACAAAATATGAGTGCTAACTCAAATACAAATAAAGCCCTAGGCTTGAATGTTTACATGTAATATCAAATAAATAAAGAACAACTAAACTAAACAGAGTCTTCAACTCCAATTCCTTCCAAGCTAAGTCCTTGGAGGTAGCTTATCACCTGAACCTGAAAATGATGTTCCCATAAAGGGTGAGCCACAGCCCAGTAGAAAAATACTAAACCAAATATAAGCAATGAATAAAGATATGGCATTCAATAGATGGTTAACCAAGATAATCAATTACATCATTATACAGTTTCATGACACTAATGTCAATGACACGTTTCACTTTTCTTTATTATCAATAAGGCTCAGAACCTGGCCAAACTTACAACAGTGAACTATATATGTTATATCCACATTACTTCCAATATCAACAAACAAATGAGACTCAGGCCCATATCAAAACACTTCATACTTCCCGTTTGATACACATTTTAGTGCTGCATCAACAACATGTAAAAACACTTCAATATAATAAGCACACATAATAGTGATGCTAATGGAGTCCATCCCCTATCTCCTCCCAAACAAAAATCCGGTTTAGAGGTCCATCCCATATCTTCCCCTAAACCGTGGAGTACATCCCCTATCTCCTCCCAAACAAAATCCGATTTAGAGGTCCATCCCCTATCTTCCCCTAAACCGTGGAGTACATCCCCTATCTCCTCCCAAACAAAATCCGATTTAGAGGTCCATCCCCTATCTTCCCCTAAACCGTGGAGTACACTTAAATTAATTATACAAATTAATTAATTTAAACAACTAGGGTTTTTCCCAAATTATCAAAGGAATCCTAATTTTTCCAAATACCAAAACTTAGAACAAAACTTATAAAATAGAGTAGGAAATCCCTACCTTGAAGAAAATAACCCGAATGGAGAAGACGGAGATGAAGACTCAAATTCCAAAGTGCTCCAAATCCTCTCTTTTTCAGATTAAAAGAAAGCTCTCGCGAAGCTCTACCTTTCTTTCAAAGGAACTAGGGTAGAAGACCCCAAGGAATAGATCAAATCTTAGAGAAGGTGAGAGTAGAGAGAGAAACTCTCAAATGGCGGTTTTTAAAAGTTAAGAAAGAAAAAGTAGGTCAAAAAGTGATCCAAAAAGTGAAATCACGGACTGATGTAGTCGACTCTACGCTCGAGCGTGAAAAACCCCGCTCGAGCGTAAGACACAGACTCACGCTCGAGCGTGAAAAGAGCCGCTCGAGCGTCGATTGCACCCTTCCAGAAGTTTTGCAGGCGATGGTATCCGCTCGAGCGTAAAACTCTCCGCTCGAGCGGAGGGACAAAATCAAGAGATCACGCTCGAGCGTAAAAAAAATGTCGCTCGAGCGGACGGACTGTAGAGTAAAGTACTGGGAGATGGAAAACCACGCTCGAGCGTAAAAACTCCCGCTCGAGCGGAGAAGCAACAACGAAAAGCCCGCTCGAGCGTTAAAAACTTCCGCTCGAGCGTGAAGGCAAAAACCTGGGCATCACCTTTTGGTTTCAAAGTGCAACCAACCTGTTTTAAACTTGCCCATCACAACCCAAGACTCAAATACAAAGAGTAAAGGCTAGAAGTGATAATGATACAAAACAAATCCACGAAACCAAGTCTAGAATACAGTATACAAAGGAAGGAAAAATCGGGATCGCTATAAGTATGGTGTTTGTTTTGAGTTTTCAAATCATAATTCTACATCCATTTTTCAAAACTCAATTTAAAATATAATCATTACTTTTCAAAAATTATAACGAAACACATAATTCAAAACTCTTTTCAAAACTTAATTCAAATCAATTTTTTAAATATTTTAATTTTGTGAGAGACAGATAAAGAAGAGAGATAGAGAGAGAGAAAGAGACAGAGATAGAGTGATGAGCGAGAGAGAGACAAAGTGGTTGCTAAAAGTGTATTTTCTTATAGTGGATTGATAAATCGAGAAGGAGCTCGATAAATAGAGAAGATGGGAGGGAGAGAGTGAATAAGGCGAACATAGTGAGGGAGAAATAGACAAATAGACAAGCAGACAGAGAGAGAGAGATAGAAGAGTGATGAGCGAGAGAGAGTGAGAGAGAGATAGACAGAAAAAGAGATAGAGAGAGAAAGAGATAGATAGATGGAGAGATAGAAAAAGAGAGAGAAATAAGATATGAGCGAGAGATAGACAAAAAGAGAGAGAAATAGAGCGAAAAGAGATGAACGAGAGAGAGAGACAGAAAAAGAGAGCGACAGAGAGAGAAAAGAGATGGATGAGAGAGATAGAAAGATAAGAGAGAGAGAAAAGAAATGAGAGAGATTGAGAGAAGATAGATGAGCGAGAGAGATAGAGAGAAGAGAGATAGGCGAGAGACACAGAGAGAAAATGAGAGAGAGAAACAGACAGACAGAGAAAGAAGAGTGATGAATGAAAGAGATAAAGAGAAGAGAGAGAGAGAGATAGAGACACAGAGATAGGATGATAAAAAAATGAATGAAAAGAGAGATGTTATATCAAAAGAGTAAGACGATATAATTTTTTTTTTATTTTTTTTTGCGACAGAAAAATACTGTTGCATTTATTCAAACCATTTTGTGACTGTATATATATGAAGCTGTCTCAAAACCACAATCACTATGCTAGGTTAGAGTTTTCCAAAAACTCTTTTGAGAAAAATATACTTTCTTGTTTTCCGTGTTATATTGTTTTTACTGAATTTTTTTAATATTTTAAGTAATTTTTTTAAGTTTTAGACACACCTAACATAAATACATCTAAAAAGTAAAAAAATTGTAAAAAAAATCTTTTAAAAATTCACTAAATATCAAGAAATACAAAAAAAATACAATAATTCAATACATTTTTTTGTATTTTTATGTATTTATTAATTTTTAAAAATATTTTTTCATAATTTTTTTTATTTTTTAAATACATCTAAGTAAGGTGCATCTAAAAAAAATATTTAAAATTTTTAAAATATTAACTATAAAAAAAAAACACGAAAGTCACTTTTTGCGACGGCAGAAAATGCCGTCTAAAAAAACAAAATATTTGCGACGGCACCATTTGCCGTCTCTAAAAAGGAGAGTATTTGCGACGGCAGAAAATACCGTCTCAAAAAAGGAGAGTATTTGCGATGGCAGAAAATACCGTCGCAAATACTCTCCTTTTTTGAGACGACAAAATTGTGTCGTCGCAAATGCTCTGCTTTTTTGAGACGGCAAATGGTGCCGTCGCAAATATTCTGCTTTTTTGAGACGGCATTTTCTACCGTCGTAAATACTTTGCATTTTTGAGACGGCATTTTCTACCGTTACAAAAAGTGACTTTTTGAGACGGCAAGTGTGCCGTCGCAAATAGTCCTGTCTTTTAAGCCCAATTTTCTTGTAGTGATCACAAAAAGGGAACAACAACAACAACCACCCAAAATAATAGCATATTATCACTGCTTAAGAGTAAGAATGTCCACTTGGTATCATTGTTAACATGATATGAAATAGTAACACATGAAGTTAATATTCACACTAGTACACTATTTACACACATGGATAATGTATTAGCAAGAAAAACTACCCAAAAATTTCCTTATATTATTTAAAATGCTCAAGCCCTTCAACCAGATTAAGACCAGCCCTAAGAAACTTTTTAACAAATACCTTATCTATAATAAACAGATTAACACTACCTCAGTATCATATATAAAATCATCAAGTCAACATGATGTGAAATAGTAGCACATGAGGTTAATATTCGCACTAGTACACTATCTACACACATGGATAATATATCAGGTCACTATTTCAAAAAAATTTCTTTTGTGGGAAATAATCAAAAATTGGGAATTCATGTCCTTGAATACCACCAACAACACCAACAAGAATAACAAATACAAAATGGAGAAAATAATAACATTATTATGAAATAATAACATATTATAACCACTTAACAAGCAAAATGTCTGCTTGATGTGAATATTCACATCACCACACTATTATCAAACATGGACAATATATTAGCCAATTATTTCAATATTTTATGAAAAAAATCAAAAAATTAGAAGTTCACATTTTTTGAACACTATCAACAATGCCAACAAGAACAACAATCACAAAAAGGGATAAAATAACATCAATAATAACATATTATAACCATTTAACAAGCAGAATGTCCACATGATGCGGATGTTCACATCACTGCACTGTCATCAAACATGGATAATATATTAACCAACTATTTAAATGTTTTCTGGAAAAAAGTAAAAAATTGGGAATTCAAATCCTTTGAACACCATCAACAATACCAACAAAAACAACAATCACAAAAAGGAGGAAAACAATAATAATAACATGAACAATATGTGCGAAAGTTCACATTGAACCAGAAAATCGTTTGATAATTATACAAATACAAAAGAGGGGAAGATGGGCGCTTACGTTTGATGATAATAGTTCGTCGATCGATATCAACTTTTACAGAGTTGATTCTTCACTTCGGAACAAGGTTGCAGTCACTGGCAACGACACGGTGACGGTGGGATGGTGGGATAACACGATGATGACCTAGGATTTAGGAAAGGCAGTTTAAGATTTTGGAAAGAAGAGAAATCTTCTCTGTGAAATCTGTGGAATGAGAGATAGTTGTGTGTTTTTATCGTGTATTGATTTCAAAAATAGAAGCATGTACAAGAAGTTTGAGGATTATTTGGTCATATTATTTTAAATAGGATCTAATGAAATATTAGAAAAGAAAATAAATTAGATGGAATATAAGATTCATGAATGAGACTTTCCTAAAATTTACCCTTATGAAAAATGTGTCAATTTAACTTTTTATTTTATATATATATATATAGAGAGAGAGAGAGAGAGATGATAACTATGCCTACAGGTGTTGAACTTTCCAGCTAAGAAGATATGTTCAGTTGAAATAAATACCAATAAGTAAAGACCAATGATTCTTTTGAATTTAACTAATCATATATAATAATTTCTTCCTGTTAATTGGTCAAATTTTTAAAAACCTTGTTCTTTGGAATCAGAAGCTCTCAAATTGGCACCTGACAACTTTTCTAAATCCTTAAATTGTATTTTCGTCAACAGTGTGACACATTTAGGTTTTTTTATTACATTTTTTTTTTTTTATAATGTTCATATGAAATTAGAATGAAGTCACAAACCATCCCTTGATTTTGACCAAACTTTTTATTGAAAATTGATTATTGTATGACAAAATGAAAGTAAGATCATTGGATAAACAATAAAGCTCCAAACCTAAAAATTTTCCTTGCTAATTATGCGGTTGTAGTATGACAATTTGATTTTCAATTTTCACTTTCGTTTCAGATTACTCAAAGCTTAAGCTTGTTAATTACTTGGTTTATGTAAAATACATGTACACGTAACAAGTGAATTGAAAAGTATCAAACACTCTTGTGTCCAAATATGTATATTAATTATTTGCACGAGCAATCACTGATATAAATATTCATATTTCACAATGTCATAGGAAAAGTGGAACTATCTCAAACTGATACAAAAGTGCTCTATTGTGGCACCGGTGGGTATTACCAAAACACTGGGGAAATTAAAATAATAAAAATAAAAGGAGATGTTCCATGTATGTGCTCCAATTTGACTTTTGAAATGATTCCAGTTTAACTATTATTGAGGGCGCCCACTATTTTCAGAATAGTATATGATATTAAGAATATATGGAATATGTTGTTCTCTCTTAAATATACTCTTTCATTTTCCTCTCAATCCATTAAGGGTAGGTTGAAAACTAGTGCAGACCATTAAAAAAGTAAAGAGTTTGAAATAAATGTTGAGTATAATGGGCATATCATGATGTTGATATGAAATATTACGTAGTTATTATTATTACTATTATTTGGTTTTAGTTTTTTAAATTTATTTTTTTTTTAAATTGAATTTTTTATTTTTCGTGTTTTTTTTTAATATTTTTAGTGAATATTTTTTAAATTTTAAGCAATTTTTCTTACTTTTTTAAATGTACTTTACTTAGATATATATAAATCGTAAAATATTTGTGAAAAAATATTTTAAAAAATTAATAAATACACAAAAATATAAAAAATGTACTGAATTATTATTTTTTTATATTTTTTGGTATTTAGTGTATTTTTAAAAAACAAATTCACAAATATTATACTTTTTAAGTGTATTTATGTCAGGTGTGTCTAAAATTAAAAAAATAAATTACTTCAAATATTAAAGAAATTCATTGAAAATATTAAAATACGAAAAATAAAAAAGTAGAATTTTTTGAAAACTGTTTTCTGAAAAACGGAACCAAACAAACTGATTATTTTTTTTTCCTAATGTTATGTAAGAATTCTAATTAATGTGTGATATTATTTTTATAGTCAATGTTTATTTTTTTGAAGTGGCTGCCAAAGTTGGGGTTGCAAATTAGTGGAGTAATAGGTCATCCAAATTTAATTTAAAAACTTAACGAATTTTAAAATATGTACAAATTTAGTTTATTTGTATAACGAGTCAATCTTGAATAATCTTTTAATGAGTTGATGACAAATCAAGTTCAAATAGCTTGATTATTTTTATATGCATATATTTTTATTGAGTTTACACATGACATATGATACGAGAGGAAAGACCAACATGATTCTAAGCATTGAGTGGAGTTCCCTATTCTCCCACTTTACTCCCCTCAAAGACTACCTTTTAAAAGAAAGAAAAATGCTTTGTATATCTTTTTTAAATGCAAAAAGTTATTCCTCTCCCACACAAATGAAACCAAGCGAGAGAGAGAGGAGAGAGAAAGCGCTTCATTGCAATAAATAGAAAGATCCATCAGAGAATCCACCAGTCATGATTTAGAGTTTAAATATTGAGTTTTAAATCTATCACTAATGTAATGAAAAAAAAAAAAACACAAATTATGACAGTAGGTGAAACTCAATACTACATCACTAGTGTTGTCAAGCTTTATTGGAGAATCCACGAGAGGGGATAGGATCCCCTTTACCACCTCTAAAATTTGGCAGGCTTTCTGGGGCAAGTCAACTAGAAAGCTGAGTAATAACCCTTTTTTATTAGGGAACCTTTGCTTTAATGGTGCCTCCCACTAGGGTAATTAATTTAAGAGAATGAATTGTGTAATCTCTATCTCTTGTCACTTACTGGTTATTAAAGATTTTTAAGTAAAATCACAGCCAGTTTGACTATAACTTTGGAAATCGCAATACAGTGATACACTCGCTATCTTATGTTCTTGAAAAGTGGATTTATACGACCCATCTAACAGCCCTTAATGAGTATGGATAATAAGTTATCGTTTGTCATAATTTAAAAAAATAAAAAAATTATTATTCTATTTAAGTTATATTATTTTATTTAAGTTATATCACTTTTCTATCACATCACTTGAAACTCAACACATATTTTATAAAAAGTCAAAAAGTACACTTATTTAGATCATCTCAAACCACCTCTAAGTACTAAAAGGTATTTTGAAAAGTTGGTAAAAAGTTAATTTTTTAGCTTTTTAAACTTATTTTGTCCTTTTATGAATAAGTTATGTGAGAGGTGATGCGATCCAAAATAAGTAAAAAGGTAGAAGCTGACTTTTTACTAATTTTTCAAAAGACTCCTAAATATATTAATGTAGTTTTTAAAATAAGAATTTTACCTCATTGGATTTTTATATTTAATTTATATTAATTTAATATCTGAATTATGCAATGTATGGTTATTTTGGTCTTACACAGAGATGGCAAATGAACGGATTTAAGCCGGTCAAAACGGGTTATTATTTAAAATAACACAACTTAAATCCGTCCATTTAATAAATAGACTTAAACGAATTTGGTTGAATTGGATACAGGTTGGATAAATGAAACCAACTAACTTATTTACTTCAAAAAAATTTATTTCCTATTGTAAAAAAAATTTGTTACTTTTTTATTTTTTAATTTTAAAATTATTTTTTATGTTTTATTTTTAAAATTTTTATGACGACAATGACGGTGACGGAGCGGAGGTGGTGGTGGCAAAGTAATGGTGGTGGAGTGCAATAGTGGGGGAGGAGTTAGTGTTGGCGGTGAAATTTACTTAAAATACAGATTAATGTTAAGTTTTAATGTTATTACTTTTTTATATTTTTCAAAAAAATTATTTACGTCAACCAAAAAGATAAAGTTATATAAAAATAATAAATACATTTGCTTTATTTTAATTATCTTTTAGTTTCTTAGAAAAAAAATTCTGAATTTTTTTTTGAAACCAAACTAAACACGTTTTTAGACCTCAAGTGGGAGTAACCCCACCACCTCCACTGTTTTTTGATTGGTCTATATATATATATATTTTTTCTTTGTCTTCCACTTGTTGCGCCCCACGTGAAGGTGGGAGTCCTGGGATCACCCCCACTGGGGTTCCCAATAGTGCTGATGGGAGTTTCTTACAAAAAGATTAAATATATTAAAATATTCGTTTCTACTTTGCAGTATTTTAACATTGCACAGGGTATTATCGAAATATTATTATGAATAAAAAAAAAAATTAATTTAACTAAAAAAAAAAAAAGGATTATAAGCAACAGTTGGTGGAGTGATTTGCTCTATCATCATTTTTGCAACTTGACAACGTTCGAGTCTTCGGCTCTGTGGGTTCAATCGACAGCCCACACCGACCCGTTTAACCCGCATAACCAAGCAGGTTTAATTGTATTGCCCAATTATGACCCGTGCGCCTATGATTGCCACCTCTAGTCCTACGCTAGACATCAGGCACGGATATTTTTAAAACAAATAAAAACATATTTAATTATATATTTTTTTAAAAAATAAAAACATATTTAATTTTATAAGTACAGAATTAATATAATTGAAACATGACAGATGTATGAAATGTCACATAACGCAAATTTGAGGGAGCACCAACCTATTTAGTGGCCATTTGGGAAGAAGAGTAAAAAGTTGGGTTTTACTCCATGACAAAAAAAGTCATGGCAACAATAAATGCAAGAAAACCATTTGGGAGGTGAGAAAAACGCAGGCCTATAAAATTACGTAACTATCCTCCATGTTCAAACACACGTATGGGTAAAAAAGTAAATTTTTTAAGTTGAGTAAAGATATCTTAATGTAATGTGATACCATAAAAAAATATTAAACCCAAAAGTTAAAAAGTAACTTTTGCTAATTTCTCAAATCACTTTCAAAAAATGCTAAAAACTTGATAAAAAATCAAAAGTCAATTTTTTACCAACTTCTCAAAATATCTAATCTTAATATCATTATAGTATTCTTGAGTTGAGCATGGAATATTAGTTTAAAATAATTTTGATAGAATAATTATGATATGAATAAATTACACTGACGCGACCTGAGACTTTTATTTTTTATAAATCTTCCTCTCACATTTGAAAATTTATATTTTTCTCTTTGAGATTTGTAATCTCATTACAAATTAGCCCTTGGATCGCTGATAGCATGCCCTAATTTTTTTTAAATAACCATCTTGCATTTTTTCTTACAATTTCTTTTTCCTATCATCACGACTTTATTCTATAACTTTTCATTATTAAATTTTACTTGAACATATTCTTATTGAGTAATGATATACAAACATAAATTTTATATAGAATTTTCAAAGACAATGATATAACTTAATAGTGACCTTTCACTTTAAAATAAAACACCTATAAACATAATTTATATTTACAATAATATCACTATCACAACATTTTTATGATATTTTTTGTATAAATTTTTGTATATGAAAATAATTTTTCATTTTTATTTCCACCATTATATCACAAAATATTATATTTCTTAAGTATATCTAGATTATGTGTATCTAAAAAAAAAATTTTGCTTAAAATATTAACAAATTCAGTAAAAATAAAAAAAAACACAAAAAATTAAAAAAAAAAGCTCAATTTTTCGTGTGAGTTAAACCAAAAAAAGATGATTGTTATTTCTCTTGAAATGACATGAATAAAATATCTGTATTATTGTATTATTTTATATGTAAAGAATAAGAGACAAATATGTCACTTTAATATGATAAGAAGTAACTGCAGGGCCGGCCCTGAAAATTCAGGGGTCCTAGGCGAGCTTATAAATTTGGGCCCTTTGTACATACGCCCCAAAAAAAAAAATATTTGCTAGTGGCCACTCAAGTTTGCTTGAGTAAATTTGGGCCTTTGTTTTTTCAATTGGACTAATTTTTTTATTTGTTTTTAATATAGGCCTGCAACATGTTTTTATTTGGGCATTTTATAGTGGGCTGTTTTATTTTGGAGGGCTTCTATTTTAGTGGGTTGTTTTGTTTTTGAGGACTTCTAACAATAATTGGACTTTATTTAAAACTTGATAGTACAATGGATTTTCAAAATTTGAAACCCTATTTTGGGCCAAATTTTGGGAGTCCTAGGCACGGGCCTTACTCGCTTTAGCCCAAGACCGACCCTGAATTAATGTAATTTTTCAAATATAAGAGAGAATCTATATTAAATAAAATCTTAAGGGTGCCGGTGTAATTTACCCTTGTGATATTCATACACGTTTTTTTGGGAGGTGGAGGGGTTGGTAATGCACAAGAGATGGTGTAAAAGAAAGATCATTGTAAGCCATGAATGATAATCCCTTGGAAATATCTTTGAAACACCTCATCCAAGCCATGCATATCCAATCACAGTAAAACAAAATCAAGTGGTATTTATCAGTAGCTTTCCTCAATCATGATGTTACATGCATGTCTGTGTTGATCATCTCAGCAAGTCAAACCTAAACCTAATCCATGCAATGGGCTCCATGCATCAAACATCATGTCCCCTCTATCCTATTCCTATGCACACTCACTCATATCTGTGTACGTAAATATATACTTATATATATATATTGGGTGTGTAGTTTCGGTATTCAAAATAGTTTACGTGTCCCATGAAAAAATAAATAAATAATTAAATAAGAGAGTGTATGAGAACTTTACCTTGACCATAAGTGTGAGATACAGATTTAAATTTAATATGATAATAAGTCTACTTATGAAGTGAATTTAGACTACATAATTCAATTTTAGGTATATAATAAGACAAAAAATTACGAAATATGAATCATCTATTGTGCATTGTTTATAGTGCATCTTGTAACTAAAATGATATTATTTTGTAGTTATGTTACATTTTTTATTTATTTATTTAAGTTTTGCTCCAAAATAATGTCGTTTTGAGACATTATAGACAATGCATTACAAAGGATCCAAATTCAAAATTATAAAGATAATGGTAGATATTTTCATTGCAAATGAAGCACCACAAGATGTTACATCAATCTGCATATAAATTCATCCTTACTCTATTAAAATGAAGAGAGAAAGAGGGGTTAAGAGAAATCTGAACATATCAATTTAAAATAAAAAATCCATTAAGATGTTTCTTAATATTAAAATTATTACTGACACATTTTGATATAAAAAAATACAATATAAAAATTCTGAAAGAATTACATTTTTGGTCATTTTAGAATCTAATCCTAATATCTGATCTTTGGAGGTCAAACCAATTATCTACATAGGTTTAGAGTAGAACCTTATGTTTCATAATATAATCGATTGTCATGGGTTTGACCTAATAGGCTCCATCCATTGGGCCCAAATAAAATTGAATGTCCATAGTAATGTTTCGTTTTCTTTTTGTCCAAATGAATTTTTATTTAGTTCAGAATTAAATATCAATATATATATACATATATATATTAAAAATATATATGTGAACCTATAAGACTTACTAGAAGTATCTTTATTTTTATTTTTTTGATAAATTACAAATAAACCTCTTATGATTTGCTTAAAATATTAATTGCCCTTTGTAATTTTGAAAACTACATCTCATTCCTTCAAATTTTTAATTTCGTAACAAAAGACATATTTTATTAATAAATCATCATATCAATTAACATTTTAATGATGTCAGAAATTTATTTTAATTTATACTTTAAGTAATTTTATTATTGTGTAGGAGAACAGTTAAGAATTTTATTTTTTTTAGTTAATTCTGTTAAATAAAAAATTTTAATAATAAAGTATTCATAATTTTTCAAATCATAGGAGACAATTCATATTTTAAGAAAATTTTAAGGAGTATGTTTGCAATTTACCTTTTTTTAGAACTTTTTAAGGTTTAATTCTTTATATATAGACTAAATTTAATCATCAAATAAAACTAAAAAGAAAGAAAATTGCCAAGGATTATTTAGATTGTTGCAAGGCTATCAACCAAATATAAATCAATCATATAGAATCAATTACATGAAATAATGTTAGTCATTCATATCAAATGATAAGGACCTTTCATAAAAAAAATAATTTGACTCAGATTATTTCATCTATGTTTTATGTAATTGATTATGTGTTCATGGACTTATTGAATATAAACAAGACAACAATACATACAAAATTGAAAAGGACTATGATGACTATCAAAGAACAGCCCCCAAAAGGTTGGATGGTGCAACACAGACAGAATGTTTGGTTTGTTGGAATGAAATAGAATGAAATTATCATTCTATCAAAAATGTTCATTTTCATGCTTAGTTAACTAAAAAATAATTGGAAATATATTGCAAAAGAAATCACCATTCACCATTGTAAGAGAATAATCATTCTATAGAAGTAAGAGAATGATCATTCTATAGGAGAGCTTAAGGAATGATCATTCTATTTCATTCCATCTCGTTCCAGTGAATAAAATAAAGCACAACTTATTGGGGCAAGGAGACGCAACATTTTTAGAACAGAATTCTCAGCCACCTTTAACGGTTATACCAACAAATTTATGTATTGTCTACCCTAGTAACAGAAGTAATACAAAAATTGAGATTGCAGAGGTTTAAAGATTGCAGAAGTTGACAGCAAACTAAAAGAAAAAAATGTGTACAAATAGAACTTGTGACATTTGAACATCATGAACAACTCTCATAACTCCAAAACTATGCATCATTTCTTATACTTGCCCTGTACTGAAATACTACAAATGATGCAGAATTTCAGATTTCTTTTCCTTCTCACTCCTCAACTCTATTTCCTTGTCTGTAACAATCTTGTGAGTTTTTTAAGACCAAAGACCTCGTTCAGAAAATATTTATATACCATATCACAAACATGTATATGTCCATATCCTCATACTGTCTTCCACCCGAGCTCAACGTGTATCACTCCATGCTTTGAATCTATCAAATGGTATTTCTGGTTGATATGACCGTTGTGCACTACATCAGCGAGATTAATATCTGTATATCCCAAAGACTCCTACAAAGTGCAAATAGTAGACTTATATAATTTTAAACTCCACGAAATGTGGTGGAAAATTGGGCACCAAAAGTAGGGTGATCATTACAAACCTTTGATCTGAAACTGATGCGTGACCGCTTGCTCAAGACCTCGATATGGATCCTATCACTTACAGGAGGCTCTTCAAGCATAAACTGGAATTCTTCATTCCATAGCGGGTCACGAGTTTTCTTGATAACCTGAAATCACCAGAGAGAATACTTCATGATTGTTACTTTTGTCTGATTGTAGTTTGGAAAAGAGCAACAAAAAGTACAGATACATCTCTTAATTAAGAGTTTAGAAACTTCTTATGTTGAACTATGACACAAATAATGCATGAGTTTAAGAATTATAGTTAAGGTTCTCTAAGCCTGTGTTTGCATCAAGGATTTGAGAAGTGATTTGAGAAGTGAAAGGAAAAAGACTGGGAAAAGTGAAAAAGTTAGAAGCTAACAATAATATAATAATCACAATAACATATTTCCTTTCACTACCCTGTTCTTTTCCCTACCCTTTTCTTTTGCCTCCATAAATCCCACCTCAAATCATTGATCCAAACACAGCCTGAAGGACTAAAGTATACTATAACAACAATTAATACTAGAAAAGAAGAACAAAAACGAATAGAAAGAGAAATGATAAAGATGATACTTCGAAATTGCATCAAAACAGGTACAAATAATCCACCAAGCTGAATTACAATATTAGTTTACAAATTTGGATTCTCTCATATGCAATTAATATTGTATTCTGGGCTTGTTTTTCTCTAGTGCTTTAAAGGGACGAGCCAATGCACTACGCTCCTGCTGAGAGGACAAGATAGTCAGCAAAATTTGTTTGAGTCTAAGTTTAGGCTTTCAAGAAGGTTTTGGAGTTAACGATAATAAAATAATCACAATAACTTATTTCCCTAGTTCTATTTAAACCAATTTAAAAGATTCGATAAGCATAAAGAAGTAACTTCATACATAACTATGCTACATAATTTCAAATAAGATTCGATAAGCATAAAGAAGTAACTTCATACATAACTATGCTACATAATTTCAAATGCCACCAGCCCATGAATGTGTAATACACGCTGCTCTTAATTATATCAGCTAATCCTGTCTTTCATTCCATGAGGCTCAAGAAAACAGGTTGAAAAGTGATTTATTTGTCTGAGTGTCCATGTCTATGCAAAACTGGTCTAACAACACATACAGTTAAGGAAGGAATTTTTTCAAAAGAAAAACTCACTTTTGATTTTCTTCTTTCTCCTCTAAAAAGGACCAAAGCATACGGGTTGTTGTGACGCTCACCCTCTACGTCCTCAGCTCCACAGACCGTAACCAAAAGTAAACCTGCTCCACCAGGGCTGTCATTCTCTGATGCCCTATGAATTCCACTTTCCATCCTCCCATATCCTCCATCCAGGGGTCCACTAAACTCGTCACCTTCTTTAAAAGGGTCATATGTCAGTTCCAACACAATTTGCCCTCTATGCTTCTTGTCATGGGGATCACTGATACCAGTGTGCTTAAGCAGATCAAGTACAAATTCCTTTGTCTCATTGGGTGTTAGCAGTTTCAGAGGAATTGTTTGCATTCCTAACTTGTCATGTCCACCTACCTGTGGGAAAAAAAAACATTAAAAACGACTAAAAGGGATATCATTTTACAGGTGTGACTTCTTACCATGCTTGAAAATGCAGCATAAAATCTTGTTAATAAGTCGTATGCTTTAAGACAAAGACACTTTAGTGATTCATATATGTTGAAGAAGGGTCCTCTGTGATTATATCAAATGTGAAATACCACACTGATGAATGTAAGTTCATAAAAAAACCTCTCCTGCCCTTTCAAACAAATCAAAATGATTAAAGTCTTTCTATTCAAAATTGTGTTAGGTCTAATTGCCATTAGTTTGGTTGGATTATTTGTAACTGCACATTTACTAAACCAAACTAAGCCTTGTGTCCCAATCAAGTGGGGACGGCTATATGAGTCATTTTTGGCCATTTTGCTCTATGAAGGGCTATATTTACAATACATAATTATTTTACAATACATAACTATTGATACGGGTGTTTTCCACATAAAAAAGGGTACAAGGGGACGATCAGCCACACTGACTTACACACGGCCCAAACTGCTACAAGAGAGGAACCAATGCGGAATCTGGCAATTTTAGAGGCATGAAAGAGAAAGCCTATGGGGTTGCTCCTGTAACTAAATAACTATAACCGGAAACCATCTTTACATTGGATGGTTTGGTCTTTCGAACTCTTACTGATTCTAGTCCCCACCAGTCTTTGAAAAGAAAAAAGAAGAAAAACAATCATAATAAGCCAGTTTCACGATCACCAAGTAAATAAATTGGTATTGAGTAGTCCAGTGCCCATTAGAAGTCAATCTTCTTCAAATAGAGCCTTTTTCACTGAAACTATATTAGTTCGTTCTCAATTTCATAAAAAATTAAAATTCAGGAACTGTTAGTTTAAAGCCATGATTTTTTGGAGAGGGTTAAGAGACAAACCTGATCCCAATCAAAGACATTTATGTTAAGAACTTGAGACTGGGGGTCCTTGACAATAAGCTTAAATTCCTCGTTCCACTCGGGATTCAAGTTCTTCTTCTTGATGGATGTTTTCTTTGCTGGCAGCCTCTCTCCACTCAGGCTGAGCTTAACGTAAGGATCTGATAAACCTAATAAGTCCATCTTCAAAAGTTTGAGTGCTCGTACAACTTTCACATTTAGTATCCCTACAGGCCTCTTTGTTGCCGTTCTATCAAAAGAGAACACTCAGTTTTAGATGTATCACAAAAATAAAACATAAAATAAGATTATATATGTATGATTCCTGAAAGTTTTTCTGTATATTTAATTGTATCAAAGATTACAATCAGACCTTAAGATTATATAGCCCTAAATTCTAAACCAAAAAGAAAAATACAATTATGTCTCTAATAGGACTCTAACACAATCATGCCTCTAATAGAACTCTAATTTGTACAACCACAATCATATAGAAAATACACACAATATATTCTTATACTCCTACTCAAACTCAAGGTGTTTTAGCAGAAAACGCTAAGAGTTTGCTAAGAAGAAACTGAAACCGAACGGTAGTGTAAGTCTTGGTGAAGAAGTCCGCAAGCTGCAAAGCCGAAGGAATGAAAGGAAGCGAGATAGAGGCAGACTGCAAATTCTGGCGAACAAAGTGACAATCAATCTCAATATGTTTCGTCTACTCATGAAAGACAGTATTGTGGGCAATCTGAACAGCACTGCGGTTGTCACAATAGAGAGAGGTCGGAGAAGATTGAGAGACACCCAAATTAGACAAGAGACAATGAAGCCAAACAATCTTAGCAGTGGCATGAGCCATAGCACGATACTCAGCTTGGGTAGTAGAGCGAGCACCGACTGATTGTTTCTTGCTTTTCCAAGAAATCAAGGAATCTCCAAGAAACATACAGAAACCAGACGTAGACTTACTATCAGTAACATCACCAGCCCAATCAGAGTCAGTATAGGCCACCAAGTCCAAAGAGGAAGTAAAGGACAACAATAATCCCTGAAAGATGATACTCCTGAGATAGCGAAGAACGCGAACCAAAGCAGCCTAATGGGTAGAGCGAGGAGAAGAAACGAACTGACTAACCACATGAACAACATAAGCAAGATCAGGACGAGTGACAGTCAGATAAACCAAACAACCCACAAGCTCGCAATATAAAGTGGGATCATCCAGAGGGACATTATTAGTAGAGTTAAGCTTCACATTAAGCTCAATAGATGTATCAAAAACCTTAGTATCAGTAAGACCAGCACGATGAATGACTTCATTAGCATACTTAGCCTGAGACAGAAAATAGCCCTTGGAAGAATAAACAACCTCAATACCAAGAAAATATCGTAATGGACCCAGATCCTTCATTTCGAAGGTGCGGAAGAGATGCTGCTTGACCTCAGAAATAGCAGAAGAGTCCGAGCCAGTGATGATCATATCATCCACATAGAGTAAGAGAGCAACAAAACCAGCTGAGGTATGTCGCAGAAATAAAACAGAGTTAGAAGCAGAAGGATAAAACCCGAGCTCGATAACAACAGTCTGAAAGCAATTATACCAAGCACGAGGAGACTACTTCAGACCATACAGAGCATGCCGAAGACGACAAACATGACCAAAGGGATGACGGAGGCCAGGGAAAGGACGCATGTAAACCTCCTCAATGAGATGGCCATTAAGAAAAACATTCTTAATATCCATCTGATAAAGAGGCCAAGAACGAAGAGTAGCGACAGAGATCAAAGTACGGACAATAGTCATTTTGGCAATAGGAGCAAATGTCTCCTCATAGTCAATACCACACTCCTAAGGGAAACCTTTGGCAACCAGACGAGTTTTGTAACGCTCAAGAGAACCATCAAAATGAGTCTTGACTTTGGTAGACCTATTTGCAACCAACCAGGTTCTTACCAGCAGGCAAAGGAACCAATTTCCAAGTACTAGGTTTCTATAAGGTAGATAACTTATCCTCCATAGCTTGAACTCAATGAGGATCCTGACAGGCCTACTTGTAAGACTGAGGTTCTACAAAAGAGTGAATAACAGACAAAAAGGTACGATAGAAAGCAGAAAAACAAGTATTAGACCAACCCAATCTGTTTGGAGGATGATGTGCTCGAGGAGGATATCGGTATGCAGTGGGATCAAAGTCGTCAGAAGCAGGGAGAGCAGAAGCAGGGGTAGAGACAACCAGTGGAGGAGAAGCCTTGCGACAAGAACAAACTAACAACGAAGGAGGAGAAGAAGTAGCCAGAGGTGTAGAAGGAGAATATGGAACAAGCTCAGGGAGAACAATGGAGATGTACTCATCAGACGAGACCTCAGAAGGAAATGGGTCAACGTAAACCAAATCCTCTTTGAAAACTAGAGCAGTGAGAGGGGGAAGTTGAAAGTAAGACAGACGTTCGAGAAATGCAACATGACGGGAGACATAAAGGCGACGAGAGACAGGATCGTAATAACGATAGCCTTTCTGAGTAAGATTGTAACCCAAAAATACACATAAGACAGACCGGGCACTGAGTTTGGTTCTATCTTTACAGGAAAAGAGGACAAAACAAGCAGACCGAAAGACGTGCAAGAGGGAATAATTGGGAGGTTGGGAATACAGAGCCTTATAAGGGGATTAACCGGAGAGTAAGGGAGTCGGCATGCGATTAAGGAGGAAAGCTACGGTAAGAATTGCCTCACTCTAGAATGGTGCCGAAACAGAAATAAGAAGAGATCGAGTTGTCTCAAGGAGTTGACATTGTTTACGCTCAGCACGACCATTTTGGGCAGGGGTATCAGTACATGAGGTTTGGTGAATAGTGCCCAATTTGGCCAAACACTCACAGAATTCAGTTTTAAAGTATTCCCCACCCAAGTCAGACCAGAATATTTTAATTGTGGCCCCAAACTGTGTAGTGATCATAGACTGAAAGATACAATATATCTGGTAGAAGTCAGACTTATGAGTCATAAGATAAACTCAAGTGTAACGGGTGCAATCATCAACAAATGACACATAGTATGCAGAACCCCCATTGGTGAGAGCAGGAAAAAGGCCCCAGACATCAGTATGAACTAAAGAAAATGGTGTAACAGATATAGAAGTACTGTTACGAAAAGGTAAGGCTGTCATTTTGGCAAGTTTACACCCCCGACACTCGATAAGTTGACTAAGAGAAACTTTACCCAATATACCTGACTGAGCTAAAGACCGTAAGTGGTCAGCGGACAAATGTCCTAATCTAGAATGCCACAAATAGAAAGGACTGGATAGAAAATCTAATTGAAAAGAAAAAAAGGCAGTCGGAGAGCTAGTCATAGGCAGATGCAAGCTCTCCATCACATAGAGGTCTCCAACTCTACGGTCAGTCCCAAAATGCTGCTTGGACATCCGATCTTGCATAGAATAGATAGAAAAAGAAAATATAACATCAAAACGAGAGGCATCAAGTTGACTAATAGATAACAAACTGACAGATAACTGAGGAACACATAAGACAAATGGAATAAAGACTGCAGACATAGCAGACGGTAGGACAGACCCAACAGATATAATTGACATACCAGACCCATTAGCAGCATTAACAGTAATAGGAAAGGGAGGGGAAGTACAATTCTGAAGTAAAGAGAGATGAAAAGTCATATGATGAGAGGCACCAGAGTCAAAAAGCCAGACAGACGAAGAGATACCTGAAGAAGACCCAAACAAACCTGAATGAAGAGATGAAACAACGGAGACAGATGGAGATGGCTGGGAGGTAGACAATATATGCTGAAGTTGACTAATCTGAGCAGTCAAGGAAGCCAAGTCAAGATCAGGAGTCGGAGCAGATGCAACATACGCAGTGGGAGGAGCCCGGAATTGGTTCTGAGATTGCTGAAAAAATAATGCAGGCTGACGTCCCTTCTTGGGACAGTGGTACTTCCAATGGCCCTCTAATGACAGAAGACACACTCATCAAAAGATAGAGACATCATAATAACCAGAAAACTGGGGGGGTTAAAGTGTAATAAACCCTATATTCAACAAAATAGCCAAACCAGGGGTCAAAGGGTAAAACATAAAAATCTGATGAGGTAAAGCCAATAAATCCAAAATCATAGTGTAATAATCAGAAGAGTGTTAGGTCTAAATGTAAAATACAATAACCAGTTTTTTTTTTTTTTTAACCTTGACCCACAAATATTAACTAGAGTTTTGAAGCTAAAAGAACCAGTCTGAAGCCGAGAGAACCAAATCAGAGAAGAGAGAGAGAGATTGAAACCGAAGTCAATGAAGAGGGAGATTGAAGCCAAAGGTCACAAACCAGCGAGAGGAGTTGCGAACCAGATGGGTTTGTTTGATTTTTTTTCGGATTTTTGGTTCGGTACGATTGCGACTCTGATCGCTCTCCTCACGACGAAGAAGAAGACGATTACGATGTAGTTGGTGGTGCCTGCTAGGGTTTTGTAGTGTCAATGGCTTCGACGCGTAAACGTGGAGCGAAAGGAGTGAAAGGGAAGAGTGAGTTGCGTCTCAGTGATCTGGTTCTCGCCAAGGTCAAGGGAACTTCGATTGATCAGAGAACTTTGATCAGAGAGCTTTGAGAACCAGATTTGATCAAGGGAGAAGATGACCCACAACTCACACAGAGACTGAAGGGGAAGACAATTTCTAGGGTTCTGGTGATGGCTCTGATACCATGTAAGATTCCTGAAAGCTTTTCTGTATATTCAATTGTACCAAAGATTACAATCATCAAAGATTACAATCAGACCTTAGATTATATAGCCCTAAATCCTAAACCAAAAAGGAAAATACAATTATGTCTCTAATAGGACTCTAACACAACCATACCTCTAATAGGACTTAAATCCTAAACCAAAAAGGAAAATACAATTATGTCTCTAATAGGACTCTAACACAGACCTTAGATTACATAGCCCTAAATCCTAAACCAAAAAGGAAAATACAATTATGTCTCTAATAGGACTCTAACACAGACCTTAGATTACATAGCCCTAAATCCTAAACCAAAAAGGAAAATACAATTATGTCTCTAATAGGACTCTAACACAGACCTTAGATTACATAGCCCTAAATCCTAAACCAAAAAGGAAAATACAATTATGTCTCTAATAGGACTCTAACACAGACCTTAGATTACATAGCCCTAAATCCTAAACCAAAAAGGAAAATACAATTATGTCTCTAATAGGACTCTAACACAGACCTTAGATTACATAGCCCTAAATCCTAAACCAAAAAGGAAAATACAATTATGTCTCTAATAGGACTCTAACACAGACCTTAGATTACATAGCCCTAAATCCTAAACCAAAAAGGAAAATACAATTATGTCTCTAATAGGACTCTAACACAGACCTTAGATTACATAGCCCTAAATCCTAAACCAAAAAGGAAAATACAATTATGTCTCTAATAGGACTCTAACACAGACCTTAGATTACATAGCCCTAAATCCTAAACCAAAAAGGAAAATACAATTATGTCTCTAATAGGACTCTAACACAGACCTTAGATTACATAGCCCTAAATCCTAAACCAAAAAGGAAAATACAATTATGTCTCTAATAGGACTCTAACACAGACCTTAGATTACATAGCCCTAAATCCTAAACCAAAAAGGAAAATACAATTATGTCTCTAATAGGACTCTAACACAGACCTTAGATTACATAGCCCTAAATCCTAAACCAAAAAGGAAAATACAATTATGTCTCTAATAGGACTCTAACACAATCATGCCTCTAATAGGACTCTAATTTGTACAACCACAATCATATAGAAAATACACACAATATATTCTCACAATATAAACTTAAAAATATTTAAGAAAGTTAAAAATATCATAGGAGGTTGTATTATCTTGGAATAAACTTACGCTGAAGCATCGAGGATCGGTATTTCAAGGGTTTGAGGCCAGAGGTAAAGGTTTGCAACTTGTTTTTTAATAGTCTCCTGTAAGAAACATGGAAAAATCCGTAGATATAATAATAACACAATGCTTGAAAAATCACAACAACCAAACTCCTAATGCTATGTTTGAATCTTGGATTTGTGGAGGGAAAACAAAAGGGAATTACTATTTCATTCACTTTTCCCTTCACTTTTCTTTTCCCTCCACAAATCCAAGATCCAAACACAGCCTAAAGAAAACCAATATCGTTCCCCAGACATCCCAAATTTTGGACAGTAAAATAAAACCCCAGTGCCTACCCATGAAGGAATCACCAATGCAGCACCTGAACAAATCGGTAAAGGCCAGGTATGGACATAATATCCCCTCCCAGTACTTTCATTCCAAAATCCACGTGTGGCTACATGCAACAAATAATGATTCATAAACATTAAAATAAAAAAAAACAAAAAAAAACTAGGCAATCAAATTTATGTCCATTAATGCAAGATTGGCAATCAAATTTTCTGCTTACCTTCTCCATCAAAGATACCACAATGTTTGCAAAACATGGAAAACTAGGCACGAGAGGTTTCAAAGTTATCCGTGGTGCAGCAAATATTTGTAGATCCACTAACTGATAAGAAGTATAATCAATCCTCCTGGAGAAACAAATCCTCTTTATTGGAACTAAAAACAAGCATTAGGGCTCTTCTGACCTGAACTGTGATCCTCACAGACAACAATTTTACCACCACAATTACGTTTGGATTGCCAGCCCATTTAATAGCCGGTTCCATGACTAGTTCTTTCTCATTAGTCTCGTAGATTTTAAGACCTGCCAAGTCGTAAAACAATGAAAAATTGAATCAATCTAAATCAAGGTCAATGTCTGATGTTCGATCCCTTAGTCAGAACAAGGAATGAAGCAATGCTGGACAAAGTACAGTTTCATAAGACTTTTGGACCACAAAGTGCAGAAACAATATATTAAAATAAATGTGGAGAAAACTGACCCTGAAATGTAGGAGGAAGAGTTCCAAGGCTTAGATTCTCAAACTCAATTGATTCTATTTGATACTTCCCAACGTATTCTGCAAATATTGGTTGTGCAATAGTTCTTATCTGACCACAAATTGCCTGCACATTGCACAAAATTAAGCCTAATATCTTTAATAATAAATTAAATTTTATGTTCAAAATTCACTTTTTAAGCCTCAAAATCACCTTGTCAAGGTAAGGCCACATATCCAAAAGAAACTTGTTTAACCAGTCTACCTGCACAGTCAGGCAAAAAATTCCATAAAGTAAGGCAATTTCTAAGCAAATGCATGGCTCTCGAGTGTAATCGTCCGAATGGTAAAAGCCCTTAAGGCATGATGTTAAGAACATACTATCCCCTCCCCAGGATAGTTCTTCGTTTCCTATCCTGATTAAATGAAGTTCTTATGGATACAGAAATAGAACAACTTATATGAAAGCTGGAAAGGTAAAGCATACTCGATCATAATCCGGACTCTTCACCCAACATGGAATCTCAGGGAGAATGTCTTGCAAACCAGTTGTATCCAGCTCATGAAGAGGCCTAATAACTGGATCCTGTAATTGGTTAATTCAATCCCACTTTGATCAGATAAGAGTTAAATTAGTTTGTAGAAGAATGATAAGATAAAATAAATTTAAAATAAGATTAATGCTTCAATAATTCAATTAAAAAGTAAACCATAAGGGGTTAACCAGGTAACAAGTTAACTTGTGATGAGTGCCTTGGAAGCATAGATCACGAGTTCGAATCCCATGAAACTTTTCATACCCTTGAAACCACCCAGGGCCAGATTGGTATGTGTGGACGGGGCGCATGAATGGGGACTAGTTAGGCCACTCCCTTGAGGCCACCAAAGGCCTGTACCCAGTAATTACCCGGTATGTGTGGGATGAGGGTGCAAAATCATTATTTCAAACTTTGACAGACTCTATAAAAGCAGAAAGTTCAAAAAGACTGAAAATGTCTTCTAGAAGCATCCGATTAAATACTAATTTCAACATAATATATGAACACAAAACAATAAAAATCCCAAAATCATTTTCACAGAATACAAATAACCTGATACAAGAATTGGATGGTAAGCAATGAAAGAACCAAAATCGAAGACTGTCACCGTTAGAACCAATACCCAGATCATGAAGGAGAACTAATCGATCAAATGCTTCAATAGATTTTAACTAAATGCTATGATAAACAAGAACCATAAGCTTATATCTTTTCATCAATCAAATGCTTGTGGATCTCTTCTCATGCGATGATCAGACAAGAACTATGAGCTTAAATTGATGTATGTAAATCTACACATCGTTACCTCAACATCTTTGGGCTCGGAGTAGACGAAGAAGTAAAACCCAATCAAAAGTCCAATCGGAAGTCCAATCCCAAAGCCAAGAATTCCCAAGACGATGCTGAGAAAACCCATGTGTGCTAGCCAGTCAAACTCCAAGAAACAGAGGAGATTAGACTGGGAAGAAGAGGGAAAATCAAGAGAAGTGAAGTGAATTCAAAGGGTGGAAAATCAATGAATGTAGAGTAGAGACAGAGAAAGGGAATAGAAGCGAGAGAAAAGAGAAAAATTTTCCAGGGAAGCGAGGTGAGGGCGACAAAATCTAAGAAAATTTACTACGGAACGTAACGAAAAAGAGTCCCAGATGAAACCGCCAAAACACAGAGTCACGTTGTTCTCTGCTTCAAAAATACTATATAAAAAGTTGTACATAAACACTGAACTGTATATTAAAAAAAATAAATTAAAATTCGGATTAAATGACCCTGTTGCCCTTGTTTCCGGCTTGGACCGGTTCATGTAATTGCTAGACAATTTAATTTTGGTGAAACATCAATAAATTTTAAATAATAAAAGCGTATAAATTGTTTGGTTTTTTTTTTTTTTTAACCCAAAGATCTTCCATTCTAGTGTGAATTACATAAAGAGTCAAGCATAAATGTATTTGTATTATGTGTTGAGGGGCAAATGTAGATTTTCTAATAATGTTAAAATTACTAAACGTAATATTTAAAAAAAATTCTATAGTGTACTTTTTCTAAACGTAATATTTCAATATCATACACTAAAAAAACTCTTTAGTATATTTTTTCTCAAATGTAATAACGTAACATTCTAAAAAAACTTTGTGTACTTTTTCTAAACGTAACACTCCAATTAATATAACATACAAAACTCTTTAGTGTACTTTTTTAAACGTAATACTCTAATGTAACACACTAAAAAACTCTTTAGTATACTTTTTTTCAAACGTAGCAACGTAATATTTCAAAAAAATTACTTAGTGTACTTTTTCTAAATGTAACACTTTAATCAATATAATATATAAAAACTCATTACTGTGTTTTTTCTTTTTCTAAACGTAACAGTATAATACAACACTTAAATCTAGTATTAGAAAACCACACTAACAGAAAATATAGATTTTCATACTTAACAACCAACACTTCAGCCACCAATCCCCCCAAGAAGAATCTTTCACACCCCATATTTCCATTCTCATCCCAAAAATAAATCAAAAAATTAAAAAAATGAATCACAAAAAAGTATTTATTTAAACTTAAATGGCACCAAATCTAATAAATACAACTTTTCAAAACAAAAAAAATAATTAATTGATTTATAAAAAAATTCTTAAAACTAAATGGATCAACATTCTCGCTCATATGGGACGTGTGAAGGGAGTTGAATGCGACTTGAGGAATAGCAAGGTTAGGGTCCAATAATCCAACTACCTGCCGGGCCAACTGCTCTGATATTTTTGAATTTATATTTAATGACAATAATTATAAACTATACAAATTTGACTGGAATCCAAGTTTTAAAAGTAAATTCTTCTTAATTTTATTTTCAAAAATACTATTGTACTTATAAAAAAAAATGTTCAAATGTAAAATTGAAATTTGATAAAATTTGAATTACATTGACAAGAAATTTGATTTGCACTTTAAATTAAACATGAACGTGAAAAACAATAAAGCCAGCTGGAATGAGTGATGTTTTTGGTGGGGTGGGGGTAATTTGTTTGTGTGCGGGGGGAAGGGCAACAAGGGCAAGAAAGTGAGGTGATTTGTGAGCCGTATCTTCTGAGGTAGGATAGGATGCTGTATTTATTATTTTTGTTAGCAGGGTTATGTTAGGAATTTTAAATAATTTATTAAATTTTTTATCAAATTTTTCATATACGTGTGGAACTGACATACATGTAGGTTTGTGTAAGTCTCACACCCATACGTGAGAGGTTTTATAAAAAATTTGATAGATTATTTAGAATTCATAACATTTTCTTATTAGTACTAGTGTTAGTATTAGTATTAGGAGAAGATACCTAGAATCATGCTAAAGATTACAGATGTCACTATGGTTGTCATCTTCTATATAATCTCCTCCATTTATAATTGTGTATTTATGTATTTATCTCAACAAGAGGTGATTACGGACCGATTGATTTGTCAAAATCGAGTGATTCAATTCAATTTACTTATTTTTAAGTGATTTTAATAATATGAATAGACAAATACAAATGAAATTTTTAAAAAAAAATTTACGTTCGAATGAATGACAAATGAGAGGCCACTCAATTGAACCCGATCTACCAACTCCCCCGTAGGACAATGATGTTATGTTTTCCTGTTACCTATGTAATGCCCCAACTTCTGGGCCATTAATAAATCAAGTCAATCTCAAATTTATAATTGCAGATAACTCATAATCTCAAATATACAAACCGTCTCCATAAATAATTAACACAAATATCTCCAAAATATAAATTATACAAATCTTAAAAAATAATATATAGTTGTGGGCTCAAAAATCTCCAACTTGAATAATCTCTTTAGAATTTCAAATTCGATCTCCACTAAATTCATTTGTACCTGAAAAATAAATTAATTTGGGAAACATACAATATAACAGGAATAACAAGGCTCGAACAGAGAATAAATCAACAGGGATCCAACAATTACACAACTGATTAGATTTGATAATCAAGCAATTTACCAAATTGCACAAACTAGTCAACTCAACATATGATAATTTATTCAAGACTAAATACCCGATCCTACTCGGTACAAGACCAGTGACCAGCTTCACCCATCTCACCCAAGCACAACTGGTTATCCGGATTATTGGTCCAAGCTATTTGCAAGGTCCACTCACTCCATGTACGGAGTATTTTCACGTCATTTAGCCAGACAAATCAACACTAATTACACAGAACAACTTTACAGAATTATTAAATGACTAAAATAATCAAACGTATCAACGGAAATGATTTCACATAATTTAACATATGACCAGGATAATCAAGAGGAGTACAAATGCGAAGTAATTAAAATAAACACTCTTTGCAATGAGATTTACAAGAAGCATATTGCATACCGCTCGAATTATCTCCACTCGAATCTCGATATTTCTCCATAGATCTCCAAATTCTAAGCCATAAGATATGTAAGGTTTCACAAAATCTACAACTCTCATCCTATATGAAAATGCTTATTCTTATTCTAAACACTCTTAATTTAAACTCTAAATCCATATAACAAATAGAGAGAGAGATGAAGCAAAAACAAAAGGATGAAAGAAGAAGAAGAATGATAGAAATAGTTGAGAGTTGAGCTCAATTTATAGGCAAGGATACTTGGGAGAAAAGAAAGGAAGACTTGGGACAAAAGAAAAGGAACTTTATTTGGTGGGCAAGAAAGAGGGGTTTACTTGGAGAGAAAGGAAGATTAAAGAAATTAAAAGAAAATAAAAGATTATTTGGTAAGTAAGGAAATAATGAAAAATAATAATAAAATAAAATTTACTTGGTGCCCAAGAATAATAAAAAAAAAAATAGAAAACAAAGGAGATGAATAATAATAAGGTGAAAATAAAAAGAGATAAAATAAGTTAGGTTTTCATCTAAAAATCTTTCCACCAAAGTACCACCAATATCTTTTACTAAAATATTAATACCTCAAAAATACAGGATTTCACAATCTATCCACCTTAAACAAATTTCTTCCTCGAAATTTACAATCTCTAATACTCCAAATAATAAACACTTCACTACGTACTCTGATATAAACAACGATTTTTTTTTTTAATGTCAAATATCAATTTTTTTTCTTGAATTATCAACCAGCCAACAGATCCCATGTAGGACCTAATCCCTACGCTCTGATACCATTCTGTAACGCCTCAACTTCCAAGCCGTTAATAAATCAAGTCAACCTCAAATTTATAATTGCAGATAACTCATAATCTCAAATTTACAAATCGTCTCCATAAATAATTAACACAAATATCTCCAAAATATAAATTATACAAATCTCCAAAAATAATATATAATTGTGGGCTCAAAAATCTCCAGCTCGAATAATCTCTTTAGAATTTCAAATCCGATCTCCATTGAATTCCTCTGTACCTGAAAAATAAATTAATTCGAGAAGTATACAATACAATAGAAATAACAAGGCTCGGATAGAGAATAAATCAACAGGGATCCAACAATTACACAACTGATTAGATTCGATAATCAAGCAATTTACCAAATTGCACAAACCAGTCAACTCGACATATGATAATTTATTCAAGACTAAATACCCGGTCCTACTCTGTACATGACCAGTGACCGGCTTCACCCACCTCACCCAAGCACAATTGGTTATCCGGGCTATTGGTCCAAGCTATTGGCAAGGTCCACTCGATCCATGTACGGAGTATTTCCACATCATTTAGCTAGACAAATCAACACTAATTACATAGAACAATTTCACAGAATTTATCAAATGACTAAAATAATCAAACGTATCAACGAAAATGATTTCACATAATTTAACATATGACCAAGATAATCAAGAGGAGTACAATTGCGAAGTAATTAAAATAAACACTCTTTACAATGAGATTTACAAGAAGCATATTGCATACCACTCGAATTACCTCCACTCGAATCTCGATTTTTCTCCATAGATTTCCAAATTGTAAGCCATAAGGTATGTAAGGTTTCACAAAATCTACAACTCTCCTCTTATATGAAAATGCTTATTCTCATTCTAAACACTCTTAATTTAAACTGTAAATCCATATAACAAATAGAGAGAGAGAGAGAGAGATGAAGCAAAAACAAAAGGATGAAAGAAGAAGAAGAATGATAGAAATAGTTGAGAGGTGAGCTCAATTTATAGGTAAGGATACTTGAGACAAAAGAAAGGAAGACTTGGGACGAAAGAAAATGAACTTTACTTGGTGGGCAAGAAAGAGGTGTTTACTTGGAGAGAAAAGAAGATTAAAGAAATTAAAAGAAAATAAAAGATTACTTTGTAAGTAAGGAAATGATGAAAAAAATAATAAAATTAAATTTACTAGGTGTCCAAGAATAATAATAAAAAAAAAATTAGAAAACAAAGGAGATGAATAATAATGAGGTGAAGATAAAAAGAGATAAAATAAGTTAGGTTTTCATCTAAAAATCTTTCCACCAAACTACCACCCATATCTTTCACTAAAATATTAATACCTCAAAAATACAGGATTTCACAACCTATGTTAAAAAAATGATTTTTATTTATTAATAATATTAGCTATTTAAGAAATATAAAAGTTTGGCCTTTCTTTTAATTATAAAAAATGAAAAATACAAAAATTTACTTTCAAATAAGGTCCAAAATAATAAAAA